ATCTTGATAAAAAATTCATTTCCTTGGAAAAACTATCCACATATGTAAAGGAATAAGAGACTGTGACCCATAATGAAAATAAGAATCAATCAATCAAAAATTAGCAGGACTGATACAGTTGTTATAAGCAGAAAATAGAAATTTAGGTAGTTGTTTTAACTACATTTCATAAATTCCAAAGTTGCAGAGACACCTAAAAGTAATTTATTTCTAAAACTTTTTTAAAGATTTATTTATTTATTTATACAAGAACAGATGCAGGCCAGATGCACAGGAGGGTGAGAGAATTCACCAGAGACAGAGCGGGGAACAGAACAGGCGAACTGATGAAATACATCGCGACAGGAGAGGTCTGCCATGCCATGCGGGATTCTCGCCTGCTGGCCAGGATGGAACCAGCACTGCAGAGGCTGCAGACAGCTTCACATCGTGGCGCTCAACTGCCTCTGCCACCAGGGGAGGCCCACCTAAAAGTATTTTAAAAGAAAGGAAACTCTGGTATGTGATATAAAGGTACAATGTGTGGAATTAATGATTGATTAACAATATGATGCAGTTACAAATGGCCAGTCTCTAGACGGGCATTAACAAATTTGTCTTTCCCCTATTTCCTGACAGGTTTGTCTTTGATGGGCATTAACAAGATGAACTGTTTGTCTTTCCCCCATTTGTTGCAATTTCCCCCTTGTTTGATAGATTTATGTTTATGACCCAGCCTCCCAGACAAGCACTCCTGCATTTCAAGGAAGAGAAAGTTAAACATCAGCTATGGAAGAAAAACAAGCTGGCCCCCACAGGTCTCAGTGCCCACCGCTTTCCCTTCCCCTTTGCAGGCCCTCGCCCATCTCCACTTTTTTCCTTTGTATAAATACCCCTGCCCTCTGCAAAGAGCAGGACGGGGTCTTTCAGACATGAGTCTGCTGCCCTCCTCATTTGTCAACAAATTAAACCACTTTCCTTTTCCTCAAACTCTGTTTCCTTTTATTGGCTGAGGGAAACCGGGGCCAGAATCCGGTAAAAATTGTGAAAGAACCAATTAGGAACTAGAAGGATACAGAAACTCTAGATAATGAAACCAAAAGAGAATAAAAACAATGCCCAGGGCATCTGTGAGCTGCGCCATCAGCCACAGGAGGACGAACAGGGGAGGGAGTAGAAAGAGCATGAAGAGAAATAATAGCTGGAAACATTTTAAATCTTTCCAGGAAACAACTCAGGGCACCTCCAGGGGAAAGAGTGACCAGGGGGTGGGTCCTCCCCTGCCCAAAGTGGACTCACTGAGAGAATGAGGGTAGGGTGGAGAGGAGTTTTATTTACAAAAGTACCTAGAAGGGATAAAAGCCAGAGACAGGGTATGTGTGTGTGTGTGTTCAGTAACCAACACGTGATCAAATACTATCAATCCTGCAAACAACAGGTACCTGGCACATTCAGAAGCCAAAACTCCCCGGCAAAAGAGCTCACTTAGTTCTACAGCAAGCATGGCCCCCAAGGGAAGTCCCTTCACAGCATGCTGGGACTTGTACTTCAAGGCTTGCTGGGATTTTAAGTCCACAGAGACAAGACTTGGGGGAGACCCTGGCTCCACTTCCTGGTGTTGCCTGACTCATCCCCGTTTTATCAAAATATATTCTGTATCAAAAACTCTAAACTGGGGGGCTTCCCTGGTGGCACATGGGGTTAAGACACAACCTATGAAGCTATCTGAAGCCACTGCAGCACGAGTTTGATCCCCAGGCAGGGAGCAACCCACATGGCTCAGCAGACCTCTCCTGACTTGCCCATAGCATCCCACAGCTCCGTTAGCAAGCAGCCTATTTCAGTCAAACCTGCTCTGTTTCTCCCTCTGTCTCTGGTGAATCCTCTCACCACGCCCCACCTCTGGCTGGTACCCCAGTTCTTGTATGCATAAATAAATAAATCTTTAAAAAAAAAAAACAGGGCCTCCCTGGTGGCACAGGCAGTTGAGCAAAGAGCTGTGAAGCTGTCTGCAGCCTCTTCAGTGCCAGTTTGATCCCCGCCATCCTTGGAGCAACCCACATGGTGCAGCAGACCTCTCCTGTCTTGCCTGTTGCTCCCCTCAGCAGCGCATTTCGTCAGTCTGCCTGTTCTGTTCCCCGCTCCGTCTCCTATGAAGGTGAATCCTCTCATCCTCCCACACATCTTGCCTGTACTCCAGTTCTTATATAAATAAAATAAATCTTAAAAAAAAATACTCTAAGCCTACTAATCCTGAAATTCAGTGAACCCATTTCAGAAGCAAGGCTTTACTAAGAGGTGGGAACAGGCGAGCCTCCTTAACTTGTCCTCTTTCATTTCTCAAAATGATCTGAAGGAAACAATGAAATGTTAATATTTTTTTTAACTGACAGTAGAACAGCAGATTTGCATTACACTCCTTTTTTACTTTTCCATTAGAATCACTCACAGTCACTGCAGAGGAAGCTGCAGGGGGAGGGGAGGGTTCTCTGGCATCAGCCTGACCCCCAGGATCTCTGATTCTGTCTCCCCCTCCTCTGCTCCCTGAGCAGACCCGCACCCACACCACCAAGGACACCCTCATTCCCTACTGTTCACTCCCCCAGTCAGACTCGGTTTCTCCCTTTTCCAGACCCACTTCCAGAGGCTGCAGGGTTGGGGCTGGTGGGGGCAGGGCCAGCAGGGCAGGGGTGGAGTCAGCATTGGGGAGGGGTTCCCAGAGGGCAGGGAGGAGAGGTCAGGAGGAAAGAGCCCCCAGTAGGCGCTCCCTGGAGATTTCCTTTCCCATAGATGCTGGCGGGGCCTTTGCTTGTTCTCCTCCCTCTGCGTGCTGTGGGGACTGGAAAGCGCAGCCCCCCCCTGTTGAAGCAGCCCCTGCCTCTGTGCTCTTGTTTCTCATCTGCGGGCGTCTCCTCAATAACTGACCATCAGTGAGAGAATCACCCAAGAGCATGGTGGGTTGTTCTCAGACAAGAGCCAGTCATGACAAGCATCTTTATCAGAGATCAACTTGCCCCATGGCCTTTCATCACTTTAGTTTCCAGGACGATGTCGCTGACAATGCCAGGGACAGGCTGTCACTGAAATTCCTGCATCCTCACAGGCAACAGCCCTTGTCAGCTCGTGGGCTGTGCAGAGGTTGGATTTCATCCTCTGACCACGGGTTCCCTGTAGATGGAAGTGGGCACTGAGGTCAGGACAGCCCAGGCACTGCCCTGCTTATCTGTGACAGCTCAGGAATTTCCCCACCTCAGGGGGCCCAGGGTAGAGGCCCAAGGCTGTGTGTTACCTTGAGTGTCTGCAGCACCCACAACATGTACACAGGGGGTGTGTACTTTCCTCTGTCATTTCTAAACTGAAGTTGTTTTTGTTTTTTTTTTTTTCTGGAGAAATGGAGACCCAAAGAAGAGAGAAAGTTACCCGGGAATCCACAAATATGAAATGATAGTGGCCCAAGCATCCCTCATTAGCAGGTCACACATGTGGAAGTGCTTTGCAGTCATCATATGAATCAACACCCCCAAAATCCTGTTTTTGTGCTCTATGCCTCAGGCTTTGTGCCTGAGCATTTCTCACAACCTGGGAGTAGAGCCCCAGTATTACATGGAGGAAACCGAGGCCTAGATGGATGGTGTCACTTGTCCAATTTTAAAGAAAATCAAATCAGACATAAACCAGGCTCTGCATTGGAAGGTGGAAAAACTTATTTTTATCTCCATCTAGTATCTTCCTCAGACCCACATGTCCATCTCACTAAAAGCGGCACTCAGGAGTGGTAGCATCATGTAAAAACAACCAACCCCACACATTCCCACCATCCTCTAAGAGGTCAGGGCTGGAAGAACAGAGAAGTAGGAGAAGGGCCGCTGAAATACAAGGTTACAGGAAGGAGCAATCTGAAAACTGAAGTCCCTGCCTGCCAATGACCAGCCTCGGCAAAATGTCACGTCAGGAGTCCCTAAAAGGATGAGATGGCATCGGCAAAACTTAAGGGCTAAGGGGAAAGGGATGAGGCAGACACAGACACTCTTATTTTTGGTGCAAGTATCTCCTACTCAAAAATACTGACACTGGGGTCCATTCTATCTCCTTCACATCACAAACCAGCCTCTAGAAGGACCGGAGAACTTCTGCTGCTGGGGATGCAGGACGCAGCATCGATGCTATGCTCTGGGAGGATGCACCTGACATCCGGGCTACATCCTGGGCTCTGTATGCGTGTGCACGAGTGTGTGTGTTTTCACACAGTTGCTCTGTGCCTTCAATACTCCTGTTCTGGACAGATAATTCAGAAGACTTCAGTGTCAACTAACATTGATGTTTTATATCAAAACAAATATAGTAATGTTTGACCACTTAGTGACTTTTTATTTTGTACTCATTGATGCTGTGTGACCAGGCTGACTACGCCATGGTGCTGCCTTTGCCAAATCAGGTCAGGAAATGAAGATGTGACAAAGAGTATACCTGTGTGTAGTGAAGGTCTATGTGAATATATCAGAGCCATAAAAAGACTATCAACAATTCTGACACTGATAAATATTTTTTGAAGTTTCCTAATATTTCAAGATAACTGGCACTAGCACAGTCAGGCACATATCTTCTTTTCAGGTACTGAGACCCCAGGAAATTTCATATTCTCTTAAGCTCCTCCGCATTGGGAGCCTCTCACTAGACCTCTGTAAATCTCTCACATCACTCCGTTATCACCCAAGTAGACTTGCTAAATCTGGTTGTTGTCTGCACTTGGGAGTCACCCAGGACTACAGTTCAGATAAACCATCCACATGGCAGTGGTGAAAAGAATCTAGGCCACAGGCTTATCCTGTTCTGGCAGTTGACGGAGGAAACTACAGATTCATCACCTCCCTACGTGTCTTTTAATGGCATCAAACACACTGGAGTACTCTGTCGCGAGCCTGCCGCAGCAGTCTGGGTGTCAGGGGTTCCTGAAGGATGGGAAGGCGTCGGCGCAATTGTAGAGAAAAAGGTAAGGGAAAGGGAAGGGGAAATGAGGAGACACGGACACTTGATCAGGGTGCTGACATCATCCTACTGAGGGTCTCAGCAGTCCTTTATTTATACTAAGCAAATCGTGAGTGCACAAGCATAAGGTAGGAAGGTAATCATCATCACATGTCCTTTTTCAGGAGCAGCCAAGGGTCTGTTTGCCTTCCCACAGAGGTGTAACATGTATTATTCTTTGTCTTAAAGAAGGCACAGGTGCTAAACAAATGTTTTCAAAGTAGTTATTTACAATCCAACAGTTATTGTACTACTAGCAAAAAAAAGCCTATGTGTCTGCAACTAACATTTCTAAGTTTGCCATGGTGAACAATTAACTAAGGGCTGAGGGAAACAAAGGGCAGGAGGTTACCTGGGGGAAGGGAGACAAAGAGATTATTTCTAACTAACCTATAAAGTTTAGACTAACATATAACTAATTGATTAAAGTAAAAACCAGAAGCCTTTTATATAGAAATCATCATCTATAGTATATTGTTTTAATATTGATTTGATATAAAGGAACCAAGGGCCTGGAGGGCTTTAATGCCAGGCAAGCCGCAGTGACTCTTCCCTAGCCCCAGCTCTCAATGAAGGGAGGAAGTCTCCTAATCTAAACAAAGAGTTTTCTACCTATCACTCCTCTACTTATCTAGTCAGCCTAGTTTCCGTATTTAACTTTAAGATCAAGGGGCAATTTCCTCTTCCATAAGGTTGCTGGTTGTTGTTCTAAAGAACTACGAATATTTTATCAGGGGTAGGGGAGGAGATGGTTATAGCCTTTGGTTCTCAAAAATGGTCAATATATGACATGGCAGTAGTTGTAACATTGACCATTTCTGAGTGCATTATTTGTGCTGCCATGGTTATCAGCTCAACCATTCACAAAATTGCTGTTGACTTATTCTTGACTGTATACTCTAACAGCTACCATACCAATTGTCACATCCTAGGGAATCAGCTCTAAACAAACAGGAAGAATTTAGCAGGAGTCAACTATGGTGTCTCCTGGTTTATCAGGAATTTTCTTATACTTGGAGCATGGCTCGCCTCTGCCACCCAACTGTTATCTTTAACTTTAAAGTAAAGGAATTTCTTTCTCCAATTAGCTCTTGCCTCAAGAGACCACATCTCTATATCAAAGACTTGGCCGATAGATGTTTACAACCTTTTGTTTCCAGAAGTTTTTTCACTGGTTAATGTAAAGCCAAATGTTGAATTGCTGCCTTTTTGTCAGAGGACTACCAATTTTATGAAAAATGTGATATTTGTATCATGCAGTGCCATTTGTCATCAAATTGGTTATTCAGTGATTGATCAGTATTTGCAGCTTTACTTTTAAGTGCGTATTTTAGCAATGGTAGAAACTAGCCATAGACAAATGAGGAGAATCTTGGAGTCAGCTAACGAGATTTCTGATTTTTCAGAAATCTGCCCCATGCCCGGACTTTTGTCAGACTGTTATAGAGCAGCCCCGATATTGAACGGGTTCCTTGCTGTGGGTCCTCACCGCGCGCTTAAAAGGGACTTATGAATACTCCACTACAGGCACACACAAAAGGTTAATAAAAGATTTATTTACAAGGGAAAAGGAAATAAGGAAAATGTACAACTCAGGGAGAAAATAGGGAAATAAAGTCTTTAATGCGTCCTACCTGATCCGCTGACCTGGAAACCCAAAGTCACTCTGAGAGCTGGCTGGACGCTGCGAGCTGGCAGAGAGCCAAAATGGGGATCCCCCAAAGCCCACGTGTCTGCCTTTTATATCCACCTGGCTGCTTAACCCCACCCTCAGGTCCCAGCCACCTTCCCTTTGGTGGTGATGGGATTTGGAGTTCCCAGTGTCTTTGGCCTGGGGTGGGGGTGGAGTCCACAAAGCCTGTATGGAATTAGCTTTAGGACATCCTTTTCCCCCTAACAAGACAACATGGGTAGCGCAGCTCCCAACAGTACTCAGCCCTCCAGGCCGCTGGCCACGCTGCTGCTCAGAGAAGGACTCTTGGAAATGAAGCCTCTGACCCCACTGAAAAGGGACGGAGAGGACGACATGTGATCACGGCTTTTATCTTGCTCCCCCCCAGCACAGATTGATCATCTACAGCATCTCAAGTCTTTATACCCACTCATTCCATGCAGATTTATTATTGATCATTCACTGACAGCTCAGTCCTGTTCCCAAGATGGGGAAATTAAGGTAAAGAAAACAAATGAAATTTTTGCCCTAAAGTATTTCTATGAGGGTTAAACCAACAAGAGAATTCACTCGTTTCCTGACGCATCTGGAGGAGGAAGGAATAAAGAAGAATGACTAACACTGAGAAAGGGCCAGAGAGTGTCATGGAAGGAGGCTTTTGCCAAAGTTTCGATGTGGAGGCCAGCTTTCAGGTGTAAAAGGATACACGTCCAGCCTCACAATCCAAAAAGACCCCCAAATCTGGGATGGCTCCCAAGGAAGAAGAGAAACTGCAGGACCAGTCAGGTAAATATGGTCATTGTTTGTGCACTTGATGGCCCAGAAAGTAGACTGAGGTTCCAGCATCCCCTCTGCGTCCCTGGGCACATTCGCCAAACAAACTCCCAAATCACACTTAGCTCCTTCTCCCACGTCCAAAGCAAAGTAAAGTCTCCCTGAGGCGAAGCCCTCACAGCCTGGGACACAGGGTCACACATTAAACCTCCTAGAAGTGTAATGCTTCTTCTCAAGGGTATGTGCACAAGTCACTCTCCTCTGGTCCTCAGACAGAATTAGGTTGCTCCCCTGACGTCTCTGGTTGGTACTCTGATGTCCCTGGTTGTTCCCCTGACGTCTCTGGTTGCTCCCCTGATGTCCCTGGTTGTTCCCCTGATGTCTCAGCTGCAGGGGCTGCAGTCATGGCTCCTCCTGAAAAGCTCAAAATTGTGGTTAGAGGCAGAGATGAAATAGACACAATTCTTCACAGTGAAGGACACTCAGGTCACCTGGTCCTTCATGCCTCCACAAATACTGTTTAACTGATTAGTGTATTTGTAACAATTATGTGTAAAACATGTCTTAATAATGAGGGCTTTAGAAAGAAAAAGAATTCTTTAGGTGCAACATAAGCCCATTTCAGAAATACACTGAACTATAATGTAATGTCTTGTATAAAAGAAAACAGTAAATGAAAAACCTCATTGAAATCTGTACACGAGTTACATCAATTCCTGCTTTTCCCTTTCATGGTCTTTATTGGATCAAGCTCAGAGACAGTCTATCTTAAATTGCTGGTGGTATTCACTTGTCAGGATAAGGGAGAGGAATCACTGACAGGTTCTGCTGGAGACCAGCTCCAGCTAGAAGTCGTGTCAGGGGTCTCAGAGAGGAGAGGACGGCGTCGGCCAAGTTTTCTCTCGGAGGACTGAGGGGAAGTGGAGCAAGGTAGGAGTGAGGAAGACACAGACACCTTATTTCGTGCAAGTATCTCCTGCTGAGGGTCTCAGCGGGTCTTATGGGATTACATCAGGTAAGCATTGAAGCAGAGCAAAGACAATCAACACATATTTTCTCATGACCATGTAAAGACTCCCTTGGCCTAACACCTGTAGGCCATTTCTTTGGTAACCTAAGAACAATTAGTTTCCTAGGTACAGCTCATTTACTAGCATGATCAACAGCACAACATTTGGCAACATTTAAACTTTCCCAATTACAAACGTGGGTGTAAAGTTCCTATTCTATATTCAATTACTAAAATCAATCTATTTCCTAGCACTCAATTATCTTGGTTAATATATTAATTACTTCAAAGTGGTCTAAAACAACTCATCAAATCTATGTAAGTTCTACTGAAGTCTAACTTGTAACTGGAAATTCCTAACCTCCACACGGCCTGCAAACGATTGACCTCTTGCATACACCAGGAAATGTATTGTTGCTGCAAACAGGTACCCACCAGGTTAGGCTACGATTTCCAAGCACAACTGGTTCAGGGCAGCTTGTTCTCCATAGTTCTCAGGGCCAGGACATTTCTATCCTAACTATATCTTTAAAAATTTTTACTTCTTTAGTGATAGTTCATGCATAAGATCAATAAGCCAATTGTCACCTGGGTCCAAATTAGGTTTTCACAGGCCAATTTATAACTAACTTACTTCAGCATTAACCAAGAACAAAGAGGAGAGCATTAGCAGGCATTGCATGGAGACTCCCTAGTTCAGATCTTTTTTGGGAAGTGCAAGAACTCCCCTCTTCTGGGAACTACAACTTTCCCTCTTCGGGGGAGCACAGGAACTCCCCTCTTCTTGGGACACTCCCCCAATGCCCAGACCATGTCAAGAGAGAGCCCGCACAGCCTGCTGCAAGGTTCATAATCCCTTATCTGAAACCTTTGGGGACAAATATGAAAATTCAGGATATTTTTGAGGTTATAGTGGCATAACATACAGATCCTCTAAATTATGTGCCCACCCCCAGCAGGATCTGCCATAGACTTGAATCAATACATAGGCAGTCCTGAAGCAGGTAGAACTACTAAAGATGTTAATTAGAGTCAGATGACTACAAATCTGGGGTGGCCACAATGGAGGGTGACTCTAGGGTGTTGGCATGATCCCTGCTTCCTCATTTTCCCAGTCTTGTAAAACTCTTTCCATTTGAACGTGGGCATAACCTGAGAATTGCCTCTGAGCAATAACAAAAATGATGGGATGCACCACTATGGTCATATTTCCTTACATCAGACCCCATATTACAGTTGACTTAATTTAAAGACTATCTCCTCAGCTCAGCTCACTTTCAAGAAATAACTGGCCATGTGGAAGGCCCAAGTGCCATGTGAGGAGTGGTGGCTTCCAGAAGCTGAGGCAGCTCTCAGGTGACGAGAATCGGGGTCTAAGTCCTACACCCACAAAAAAAGAACAGTGCTAACAACTGAAGAAGATGGGGAGAGGATTATTCCCCACATGAGTCACCAGATGACACGCAGCCCAGCCAGCACCATAACTGCTCTTTGTGACTCTCCCTGAGCTGTACCCAGAATTCCCACACACGATTCCTGCTTTAAGCCCCTAAAGTGTTTTACAGCAACATGTAACGGAATAAGCCAACAAATAATTTCTTGTTATGGCTAATTTAAAAGAGAAATGAGTTAGGAGGAAACACTGAGATTTTTAGAGCCTTTGAACTCTGTAATTGTGGATGAGGGGTTTGAAAAACGGCATTTGGGTCAAGGTCTTAAAACTATTTGCATCATCTGCCTTTCTTGCATTGTTCTCAGACTTACTGAAATATTAACAGTAAACTTTATGGCCCAGGTACTATACTAAGCTCCTTACAAGGGTTGAGGCACTTAATTTTTGTGACAACCAGTGCAAGGAAAACTGGAATGAAGGAATTGATTCTTCTTGGAGACACATTTAATCAATGGGCAAGCAGCATTTGAAGAGTCCCTAGAGGTCCCCAGTATCCTGTCCCTGAGGAAGCACTGGGGCATCCTCAAATCTCTACTGGAACAACTACACAGCCTGTCTGTCTATCAGCCTGTCCAGAGGTAGGTTGTGAATGTGGCTAAAACTGAAGAATTCTTGACTTTCCATACCTTCGTTGGTCTTTAATTTTTTCCTCTCATCACGGTGGAGCTCAGAATCCTTGCAGTCAGTGCGAGGCTCCGAAGACGCAGACTCTGGGACTGAACCCCTAGACTCAGAAGAGGGCGGATTTCTTCAGTGGGACATCCCGTGAGCTCTACATAATCAGACCCCTTCCCTTCAAATAAAAATAGCGCTTACCTGGTCAAGGTGACTTTCATGTCCTACAGAGACACAAGGACAAAAGGAGAGTTAGGGAAATCCCATGTTTCATGAGGCGTGACATGAGGGGTTTCTCTTTAAACCGTCCATCCAACACGGAAAGGAGTGGTCCTACCTGGATGCTGATGGACGCCCAGGTCTGATGAGTCCCATGCCCACCCCCAAGGGCCCAGAGCACAGCAGCACATTGATCCTCCCAGAGCTCAGAAACCGGCTCACTGTGACTGTGATCACAGTAGTGTGTGGGCAGCATGAGGTACAGGGTAGGAGACTATGTGCTCCCCCTTTCCTTAGTGAAGAATCCACACACAGCTCGTGAGAATGGGCCACTGCTGTGGTGGCAGGTGGCCTGTGCAAGTGGAGCAAATCAGGTGACACTGAAACCTTTCTGTGGGACTGAGTGGCAACTAAAATAACAGTGCTCACAATTACTGTTTCGGGGTTGATCCCTCATGACTTGGAAAAAGATCCAGGAATTCCTCTTGAGCAAGTGAGCTATCCACGTACAGGGGAGGAATTTTCATTCACGTGGCTGCCCATCATCTGGTGTTTGCAGCAGTCATCTCAGGGTATCTCTCAGGAGAGAGTCTCAGAGTCAGGGTTCTGTGCATATGGGACTGAGACCTGAATCCTTATTGTAAAAAGAGAAAATTGATCTCTTTTTAAAACATGTGTTTTCATTCTAAGTCATTGAGTTCAAAGAGATCACAGTATCATGGCTATTGCAATGTCTTACTAAAAACAGAGGCTGTCATAACCCTAAATGAAAGTAAAGTGAGATGTGCATTTAAAAGGAAAAAAAAAGTATTAAACATGGATATTTTCAAGGTATGGAATAGGGATCTGTGAAAAGGTCAAAAGGTAAAAGCAAGCATTAATGGTCCAAAAGAGAGTGAGAGGTTTTAAAAAGTAAAAGCTAATGCTGAGAGTCTGAGAGAGAGGGTAGATTAAGAAATTTTAAGAAAGTATTAAAAAGGCCAAAAAGCAAGAAAAAGTAAAAAGACAAAAGCAAGTCAGTCAGAGAAAGGAAAGAAATTTTTAAGAAAGCAAAAGAAAGTTTTAAAAAGTAGTGTTATAAGAAAGGAAGAAAAAGTAAAGAAAGCAAAAGCAAGTGTTAAAGTAAAAAGCAAAGAAAGTGTTTAGGCGTGAGAGAGGGATGGTAGGGAAAACAAATGTGTACAAGCTGCAGTGACTCACTGCAAACTCTAAAAGCACAAGCAATTTTAGCGGTTTATTTCATTAGCCACAGAGATTGGACATGGCCTTGAAGACCAACATTGACAGGGAGGAGACCAGTCAGGCTGAGGAAAAGATACAAAAAAAGGGAGAAGGACAACAGAAGGGCCCAGTATAGGGCAGCTGACACTGCCAGCCCCCTGTCACTTCAGACTCGCCTGAGGCCCCATTGTCTCAGGCATTCAGGACCTCACCCCTTCGTGGGCTGCCAGGCTGCTTCTTACTGCAGCAACTGGGACACCTCAGCCACGAGTGTCTGAAGAAGCCACCCCCATGGTGTGTCCTCAGTGCCACTGCACAGGGCACTGCAAGGGGGACTGTGACACTTTGAGAGAGACAGGGGGGTCAGCAAAATCCACTGGCCAAGATGGGAGGACAGGCTTGACCATCAGCTGCCTCTGACTGAAGAACCTGGTACAGGAGAAGATGACATTTTCTAAAGCAGCCCAGAGGTGAGACAAACCCAGGTGACCCTAAAAGTGGCAGACAAAAATAAGTCACCATCTTGGTGAATCAGGGGCCAAGTTTTCCTTACACTGACCTACTGATGACTAGCCTGAGTCAAGACACTTTCACACTTCTAGTGACATAAAAGAAAACCTAAAGTTATTAAAAATATCTATAGTATGATGTCCTTATAAGCGGGACAAGGATCTAGTTGGCTACAATCAATCTTGGCCTGTATAGCAAACCAATTTCTGTCCTGGTGGCTCCTCTTTATGATTTTCTTGTTTGGGCCTTGCATCCTCAACACCCTCGTCAAAATCATCTCCTGTCACCTCAAAGCCAGCAGACGTCAGATGGTCCTTTAGATGGAGCCTGATAGGACACCTCCTCCATCCTGCTCCCAAGGCCCTTAGATCGCCGCCCTACAGTGGCGCCCTGACTGCTCGCCCGTGTCACCCATTTTCAGCAGGAAGCAGTGACTGGTCAGATCGACACCCTCTGTCCTAACAGCATTGAGGGCTACATGTGTAGAAGGGGTACTGAGTTCCAGGTCAAGTCAGGGTTAAGGAGGCAGCTTCAGGGACAGTGCAGGCAGGGGATGTCTGAGACAAGGACAGTAAATTCCAAGTGCTAACCAACACATACACCAGAGGGGAGGTCAGAAAGTCCAGGAGGATGAAACAAATATAGTACACTGGGCAGTGTCTGGTGACTGACTGTAGTTTCTCCTACACACACTGGAACCCTAAATAAACTGTCCTTGAGAACTGCACCCAGAGATATGACCACCATAGAAATGACGGAATAGAAGTAAAAAGGGGGAAATGAAGTGGAATGAGTGAGGCTGGCTGTGGATGAGCTGAAGTCGGGACAGAGCCTGTAGACCGAGAATTTCGGGGAACAATGGATAAATGACCTCAAGGCCACACGCGCCCTGACTCACACATCCCCAGCTGCTGTGTCCCTTGCTTTACTCAATAAATACTCTGTACCCTAGTTGCTGGGGCTCAGATTGTGGAGAGAGATCTCCTCCGGGCTGCGGGTGTGAAGCCGCCAGTGTAAATAAAGAGCTTCCCTCCTCCTCTCTGAGTGCTCCTGCTCCCTCATGACAATCTGCCAGAACAGTCACCCTTAAAATAAAAGGAAACTCTGGTGTGTTAAACATGGATCGGTGCGAGCCAGGCTACTCATGCTGTGTGACAAAGCCCAAGCATGGGGGAAATTCTGAAAATGAGGAGGGTCCGCAGCTGGTTCCTGCTACTTCTTTTCATTTTGTTTATGGCAGTTCTTGCAATTATGGCCATTTTCTATGGGCTTCAGAATAACAAAATGAATATTGACATAATGACAATTTCAGTAACGCATATTCCAGTAATTTGAGTGACGTACATTCCTACACAACAGGCAATAAGACGATTTCCAATATTTCTCAATGTCCTCTGATTTGTAATTCATCTACCATGAGTAATGCTGAGTTCTTTAACAAATTACGCTTGAAAGAACTATTGGAACCAAGCCCAGTAAAAGTCCCCACTGAGGAAAGCCCTAAGGCGCCCTAAAATGACAAGATCCAAGAAAAGAAACACCACATGATGTAACACAGTTTGGGGGCCTTTTGGCCCTGCATATAAAATAGGAGGCCGCCTTTGGTATCCCCCTCAAGGCAAGGCTATGAGTAAAACAGATTTTCTTACTCCTACCCTACCCATTCCTTATACTGGAATTGATGATGATATGAACAAATGGTTCAAAATTAACGGTACGAAGGTTCTGGCTTCCTCGGTATCCTTATGGGAGAGAATAAAAAGGTCAGGTCCCCCTGGGTGCCTCTGGAGCAAACATAAAAGGCAAAAGAACAGGGAAAGGTGGAAAAGATATTTTAATAAAATGTAGTTATTGTAAGTTGCCGCTAGATGACATATAAACTCTGTAAGCTGGATATGTAACCCTTTCGCTTGGCAGAAAATACATAGCTTAAAGTTTAACATTTACTCACCAAGCTTGCATGACCACTTAGGTCACACTCTGTCTAACACCTTTGTTTCCCTTTTTTAGAATTGTTAAGGTTATAGGAACAATAATAAGGTCAACTTGACCAGAACTAGGAAAAGTAAAAGTAGACAGTGTGCTTTTGTTAAATGATCAGCTAAGTTAATTCAAAGAAAAATGTAATCACAAAATCAGGTCATGAAAAAATGAAAGAACAAAGAAATTTTCTAATGTATAAATAAAGCTCCGCTGAGGCTATCAGTAGGAGATGCTTGCCACCTGATCGAGTGTCTGTGTCTCTTCATTTGCTGATGCAGTTCTTTCCTTCGTGAACCCTACCTCGGCTAGAGCGGACTCCAGCAATGGACGAGCCGGGGAGACACTTTGGCAGAGACAAAAGGACATTATTCTCATGCTCCAGTAGGATTTAAAAACAGAACGTGGGAAGGGGGCGGAGCAACATGGCGGCGAGGAGACGCTGCGAGTAAGATCTCCCATTAAAAAAAGTGAATAGGGAGGAAAAGCGGCAGGTCCCAGTGAGAACTGGGACACGGAAGATAAACGGACGACTCCAGCAAACTGCCCGAAGAAGAAAGTGGCCATAGAAGAGGACGAGAAGGGAGGGAAGCGCAGAACCCTGCTCCCCTCCCCCGCCCACAGAGGCGGCACTCTCCGACCGGCAGAGAGGAGGGAAACAACAAACCAAAACAGCCAACAAGAACATACTACACAGCAAGCGGGACTGTGAGTGCAAAGGAACTATTGCAGCCACCACACCCCGTGAACGGGAGCTGTGGAGAACCCTGCAGGATCCGCCGCGGAGGTGAGCTCCAGGCGCCATTAAAGAGAGCACCGCCCCCCAGGAGGAGGCCAGACCAGCACACAGCCCCGGCCGCCCGGTAAGCTTGCTCGGAAAGCGGCGCTGATCCGGATAGATCGCAGCTGCCCAGGTCCCCGCGCCTGCGACCTAGGCTTGCGGGGAGACGGCGGAGGCCCTCCCTGAGTGAGCAGGAACAAGGCGCCCAGGCAGGGGAGCGGGATTCAAAAGGCGCCATTCCCGCGCCACTGATCTGGGCTACAGCCCGCGTCCTGGAACTGAGGGCTTTGGAACTGAGACCCGGGGCACGAAATTAGGGGCGTGGGTTCCCCACAACGGTGGGGCACAAGGCAGACAGCGCACCCCAAAGCCATTGAGGTGTACCCTACCATCCCCGCTCTGCTTCCTGTCCCACGGGGTGGAAAATCAGCTCCCCAAGGGCTCTAGGAGAGATCTCTGGCGCCACCTAGCGACTTGAAGCCAGCAGAGGCTCCTGAAGGAGCTAGTGGCCAG